CCCTAAGACTACACAGAAAACGAATAAAGAAAGAGGGGAAAAAAAAAAGAACCCACACAGGGCTGGGGCTGACATTGGTGGCCCAAGTGGACAGCTGGCACCGAGAGGGTCAGAGTGCTGAAGGCAGCATGGCCTGGCTAGAACAAGGCATCAGGGCAGAGGGAGGGGGAGTGGGAGGAGGCTGGGTGAGCCAACGGATCCACGACCTGTGGACTTCACAGCCTGAAACCTTGAATTTATGCTCTATCCCCCAATAGATGTCAAACTGGTCCAAGGTGGGGTGGTCCAGCCAAGGGTGGGGAACTCAGAGGTGGTACCTGGGGCACCCATGCAGAGGTTTTTGGGGTACCTGACCAGCAGGCAGGCGACAAGGAGGGAAGCCAGAGCTGCATGCTGACCACAGAGGGCAAGGGGTATCTTCCAGCCAGCCCTCCTCCCACATGGGACCTTGTAGAATCTCAGGGTCAATGTGGGGAACCCCGTACCCCATGCTGTGTGTAACCTAGCACTTGCCTCTGTCACCCATGAGATCTGTTTCCTATATGGCATCCCCACCCATGCACACATCATGCCTGGCAGGAAGCAGGCTGATTGGGAGCAGGGCTAGGCCCAAGCACTTACCCCAGGGACCTCAAGCAGCCCAGATACCAGGAGGGGAAGCTTTAAGGCCGCAACGCTGCCTGTGACCCCCACGAGGACCCGGAACTTTCTCTCCTCCGAAGGCTCCCCTGGTTCTGTGTGGGGCGTGGGGGCTCCAGGCCCTGGCAGCCTGGTAGGTGCCGGTTCCATGAGGCTGACAGGATTTAGGATCTGAAAGTAGAACAAAAGGTGCCCCACCAAACCCGTTAGTCCATCAGATGGTATCCGCTCTAGTGGGGAATGGGCTTGGGAACAGGAAGTAGCTTAGAAATGGGGCCAGGGGCTGGTGTTATAGCACATGGGTTAGGCTGCCCACCTCTGATGGCAGCACTGCTCCACTTCCGGTTCAACTACCTGCTGACATAGCCAGGTAAAACAGCAGAGGATGGCCTATGCACTTGGGTCCCTGCCACCCACACTGGAAACCTGGTTGAAGCTCCTGGCTAACGAATGTGGCCTGACCCAGCCCAACTGCTACAGCCATGCATAAGAGCAAACTAACAGATAGAAGATACATCTCTCTCTGTAACTCCACCTTTTCAAATATATAAAATAATTTTTAAGGGAGAGGGTAAATTGAGAGGTGGGTGCATGGCCGGAGGTCTGGCTGCAGAATCAGGCTGAGGCCTGAAGGCCAGGCATGGTGAGGAGGGTGCTGGTGTCAGTGCGGAGGGCACCTGGACAGGAGATGCGTCTCCTGCAGCAGGCTGGGCTGACTGAGCAAAGGGAGTAGCCAGAGGAGCCAGGAGCAACCCTGGCCAGCTAAGGGCTCTGCCTGCGTCAATGTGGATGGAGCTGGGTACCATCCTGCAAGTGACAGCTCAGGAAGGGATGGACCTAGAGGGGGAGACAGGTCTCCTACAAGGTCAGCTGGACTGGGCCTTCAGGCATTGCAGGAAGCACAGAACAACAGTCAGGCCGTGAAGCCAGAGTCCCAAGGTTGGGCTCCCGAGCCTGCCCTGCGGGTCACCGTCGTCCAGGTGGTCCAGGGTTCCATTTGCCAGGGACAAGGGTAAATCCTTCCAAAACCAGAGGTTAAGTTTCAGCGGGGGTCGAGTGGGTGTGTGTGTTTTCACCCCCAGGAAGCCCTAAGCTTCAGGCAGGTTAGGGGGCTGGAGACCCCAGGGTACCAGCTGTCCTCCAGCTCCATTCCCCACCAGCTAGCACTCTGCCCCAAGCAGTAACTCACAGCCCTCCCCCCAAAGTAAACCCAGAGTACCCAGGGCAAGCAGCTGTCCAGCCCTGGTTAGCCGACTGCCCGAGGGACCCCGTGCTCCCCATGCACAAGATGGCCAGTCCAGCCCCAGGCCGCCATCCAAACACTTCCGGGACCCCCTTTCGGCCAGAGGCCCCCCTCGCTGGCTACTCCGGTCCCCAGCGGTCCCCAGGCGGCCCGGTGAGGCTGCACCGGCTGCCCGGCCCACACACGCCCGCGTTCTCCGGGACGCTGGCCTCCCCGCCGACGCGCCTGCACCCACTCGCCTCCCGGCCGCCCTTCCACTGCTCACCCGCGCCAACCCCAAATCTCGCGTTATCTGGACCGCTCTTCCAGCTACACATAACCTTACGTCATGAGCGAGCAGCCAGCGTCGTCGCGAGGTCTTCTGGGAGTTGTAGTCCCTTTCTGTGCCTTCTAGCTCATTTCTCTGTCATCAGGCCTTGTGTTCATTTTTAATTTATTGATCTTTTTTTTATTGGTCTTATTTGAAAGGCAGAATTATATATAGAGAGAAATATCTTCCACCTGCTGGTTCACTTCCCAAATGGCCACAATGACCAGAGCTGGACTGACCTGCACCCAGGAGCTTCTTCCAAGTGGGTGCAGGAGCCCACACACTTGGGCCACCTTCTGCTGCTTTCCCAGGCCATAAACAGGAAGCTGAATGGGAAGTGGATCTGCTGAGACTTGAACCAGCACCCATATGGGATGCGGTGTCACAGGCAGTGGTTTTATCCACTACTCTACAAAACTGGCCCTTGCATACCATTGTTTTTGAAGGACACCAGGGCCAGAACTGCACGCTGTGTGAAGACTCAGCACGAGGAGCTGGAAGGCAGCAGCAGCCGGGTGTACATGCAATGGCTCTCTCACTGCCTCATTCCCCAACCCCCTGACCTCTTACCTGGGTCACTGAGGCTGCTCAGCCAGCTGGGGTGAGAGGGTCCTCCATGTAGGGTCCCTACCCCACACGCACAGTGAACCATCTGAATCTGTAAGCAGAGGCCTCTGCTGCCACTCCAAGGCCTGTTCAGGGTGCCAGAAGGAGCTACAAAGAACACGGGTAGCAAAGAACAAACCACCCATCCCGCCCGCCTCTATGCCTGCCTCCCCACCCCCTGACAGCCCTGGGCCCCTAGCCCACAGCCAGGCTCCACGCAGTCCCCCACAAAGACACAGGAAACAGCAGCCTGCACAGGGCCAAATGTTCCTTTATTACGACTCACGCAGTCACCACAGACAGACACATTGACTCAGGCAGATCAACTGCCAGCAGGGGACAGCCTGTCTCCCAGAGACAAGGAGGCCCACCAAGTGCCAGGAGGATGCATAGGTGACCCCTGGCTGGCTGCAGACCCCAGGGGAGGACCCTAGGCCTGGCCTGGGCCCTTCTTCATCCCCACCCCCTACCTTCCCCTCCCCCCGTGGGCCCCCTCCCCAGGAAAAGTGCAGAGTTGCCCAGAGGTGCAGCGTTCCAGGGCCCAGCTGGGCTACACACAGGTCCCAGGATCGCCAAGGGAAGAACTGGGGTACAGTCACACAGGGCTGTGCCAGGCAGGGAAGAGGAAAGCCAGGTGGGACAGAATGTTGGCTCGGTCACCGATACCAGGCTGGAGGCTGTAGCTTGGGCTGGGCAGAGGGACATGGGGGGCAGGGCCTCATCCAAGGTTCTTTGTAGGTATCAGGGCTGGGACCACTATTCTCCAAAGAGAACATGGCAGAGGAAAGGAGGCCCTGGGAGCCCAGACGGCGGGCTGCAAGCTGTAGCCGGCCCCAAGTGGGCGAAGGGTGTCCATGGGCTTCTCCTGGGAGGAGGGGGCTGGAGGCGGGACAATGGCAACATCTTTGGGAAGGACCCCTCCCCTCTAGGTCATGGCACTGGGACCCCACCAGCCTGGGGCACTCCCAAGTTGTCAGTCTCCTGGAACGTGAGGGACTCTGACAGTGCGCAAGGGCCTGTGGGATGAGGGCAGTAAATGACGTGGAGGTGAAGGCAGCCAGCCTCCCCTCCACACCTGCGCTTCTGTGCCTCAGCACACAGCCCACGCAGGGCCTCATGCTAGCAACTGGGATCGGCCTGCACTTCCTTCTGGAACCCGAGTCCAGGTGCCCAGAGTGGACCTGAGACCAAGAGCCGACTGTGCTGGGGACAGGTGAGCTCCCCTCTGCCCTGAGCTCTGCATGCCTGCTCTCCATCCCAGCCCCAGCCAGTCACCCAGGAGCCAGCCACAGTCACCCAGGATCCAGCCAGACCTCCCCAAGAAGGAACCTACAGTTCCATCTGTGCCCTGAACTCCAGCTCGGCCTGTGCCCCTGACACCTGTCTCCCACACCAGCCAGCCCTCAGCAAGGCCGGAGTTGGGGAGGGAGGCAGCGTGTTGCAGGGGACACAGGACACAGCAGCTACAGGGACAGGTAGGAGGCAGAGGGGCTTCGGGAGATGAGGGCATGGCGGGGACAGAGGCCCATCCTGTACTGCCCTGCCCTGGATAGGGCCTCTGCAGCTGCCTGCCCCACCCACAGAGGGCTCAAGCTCTGTGAGCTTCCTGGGCCTGGGCCTCTGCTCAGATTAGGGAATTCTGGCAGCAGGGGAGGGGGGTTGCAGGCAGGTGGGCAAGCAAGGAGGAGAGCCAGGGCAGAGCCCCCGCCGGTCCCACCTCCACCACCAGTGAGATCCGAGGTGGAGGCGGTTCCCGCCACAGCCGCTGGCTGCTGCAGACACAGGGAATGCAGGGTGCTGGGCTCTCTGTCACGCCTCCCTAGCCCCAGAAGGAGTCTTTGGGACCATGTCAGAGAGGGGGGTTTGGAACAGGGTACGGGTGGGGCTGGTTTGGTTCTAAACAGACATCTAGCACCACAACAAGAGACCTCCACGGCACGGTATTTCACAAAGGGACATGGACACAGCTAGCGCCCCTCCAGGGGCAAGTTCCCTTGTAACCCACCTCCTCCCCCAGCTCTAGGGGGAGGGGGCGGGGGACAGAGGCCAAGGTGCAACGTAGATATAGAACTCTGTACAAAGAGGGAGGAAGAGGAAGGAAGGGAGGAACCCTGCTTTGTCACCACAACACATAATGTGGCTTGAGCCCCCTGCCCCGCCGGCGGGCAGCCCTGCCCAGCAGCAGCGGCCTCGGCAACCACCTCACATCTCGTTGGAGTATGTGTAGCTCGGGGTGGCGGGGTACTGAGTCTGCGGCTGGCTCATGGCTCCCTGGGCCGCCCCCATCGCTGCGTTCTGTGCCGCCTGCTGCACGTGGGGGTTCTTCCACGCCCCCGTGGTCCACTCCTCCTGGGCTTTGCTGAAGCTGCCCCCACTGCCCCGGTAGAATTTATGAACCTGCGCAGGAAGGTGGGGGGGGTGCAGGCATTTCAGGTCACGGCCCCTTCCCAAAGCCCCACCACCCTCCAAGCAGGGGACTGCATACCATGCTGAGGGCAATGAAGGAGAAGACGGCCACGGCCGTGAACATGACGGTGGGAATAAGCATCACCACCGCAGAGCCCACGTTTGTCCCGAAGAAGGCGATGGTGGCGATCCAGCCGCTGGAGGAAGAGGCTGCCTGTGGATGTTCCGGCGGGAGGAGGGGCCCTGGGAACGCCCCCTCCCCTTTCTCACTCCAGCGGAGCAAGGGACCCTCTTATTGATCCCCAAGCCCTGAGGGCAGCTGGAGAGGCCCCTTCCACGTGTGGATCCTTCCACTCAGACCCACTCCTGAGACACAATGTGTGACACCCCTGGTAACCCAAAGCCACAGCCCAGCTCTCCTTGCCCTCAGAGGACCTTGAGACCTCCTTTGCTGCAATGCCTAGGTCTCCTCCCTCAGCAGGGAGGTAACTTAGCTCCCCAAGAGCCAAGCACCCCGCAGCCATGGGTCACCCTCGCTCTGCACACACACACACGCACGTCCCAGCCTCTTACCAGACTCCCCAACCAGGAATGCCCACAGCCTGGATGATGCTGATGACCAGCTGGGCCATGAAGGTGAAGAAGAACGCCATGAAGCTGAAGGAGCTGTCAGTCCTGTGGCACAGGAGAGGCTCTGAGCTCCGGGTCTCCCTGCCTGGAAGGCACCCACTGCTCTCCAGGCTGGAGCCAGACGAGGCCAAAAAGGTCTCAGCCAGACGGCCAGAGTGGCTTGGCGTACACTGGTACATCTTGTGAGAGTTTCTGTGCATCGGGGCTGGGCATCCACGGATGTCAGGAGGGACCCCCTCAGGCACGGGACCCCTGCTGGTGCCAGGACAGCCAGCCAGCCAGCTCCACAGGGGCATGGTCCCATAGGTTCTGGAAGGACACCTTATTGACACCAAGGCAGCAGCTGAGTGGCACTGGCTGGCCGTGAGGTATGCTCCACCGGCACTGAGAGGGACAGTCCTGCTGGTACATGCCCTTGTCCCACTGGCACAGACAGAAATCCCCGTTTGGCAGTAGGCTGACCCTAGTGAGTGAGACGGCCAGCCTGCCCTGGCAGACGGAAGGGCGGTGCCTCAGGCACAGGCTGGGCCATCTCCTGCATGATGTCGGGGTGCCCGGTTTTTGGCCCCTTTGGCTGGCACACGCACCGGTGGACAGTCATCCTGGCACTGAATCAGCTGGGTACTACCACCAGGACCAGGGGTGGGGGGAGCCCATAGGCAAAATCTAGGGAAGGTGAGGGCAGAGAGAGACAGCGGCCTGCTGCTACGCTGCCCCGACGCAGGAGCAGGAGGGGGAGTGTAGAGAGGATGACTCTGACCCCCAGCCTGGAGCTTCCAAGAAGCTGCACCACAGGTGAATGAGGAAAAGTGCGTTTAGGGGATGGCTACAAAAGCAGAGGAGTAGGGGAGACGGGGGGAGGAGATGCAGAGGCAAGACAGGGGCAGCGAGTGGGCAGCGGCAGGGCTAGGGGCTGGGGGCCATTGCCAAGCACTTACTTGAAGGCCTTGTAAATGGGCCGAAACCAGCAGACGTAGGAGCAGGGTGTGAAGAGGACGAGCCAGAGAAAGGCGAGGCCAAAGTTGGTGGCTCCCCCGCCTCCGATCAGCCATGCGAGACAGCCCACCAGGTTCACGGCCAGCGTGACGCTGTTCACTGCAGACCCGGGAGCACAGGCACACGCAGACACCCAAGCCCAGACACAGGGACACACACATATATAAACCACGAGGCCCACATTGCACACGGACAGACACATACACACCCACCCAGGCCAGCAATGTCATAAAGACATGTGTGGGTGAACACACACATATACAGATCACAAGACCCACACCCCACACAGACACACACACACAGAGAAGGAGTACAGATGGTAAGAAAGAAAGCTGGGAATTCAGGGCAAGCTCCCTCCTCACACCCTCTGCTGGGGACCCCAGGGTGCTGTGTGTGTATGTGTGTGTGTGTGCGTGTGTGTGTAGTGGGGGACCAGGGCTCTGCCCAGCCAGCTCCTTCAAAGGGCCCCAAAGCCTCGGCTAGTGGAAACGCTCTTTAAGCACGACAGATAACGGCCTCGGTCCCCACACCCTCCCACACCTGCCAACGCCGTGGGTCAGACACAGGAAACCCATCTTAGACCCTCTTCTGCAAGACAGGGGGACACAGAAAGGGGATAGGAGAATGCCTTGGTGCCATGGACCCCACATTTAACTAGGGTGCGTAGGCAGCAGTGTCTGGGATCTTGTCTTTATCTCTTCTGTTTCTCATGCGACTACCAAGCCACCTCCCGCACAAAGTCTTCCTTCACTCTGCGTATACCAGTCCCACTTGTCTCCTATACCTCAGGCCCCTACAGATTTGGGCTGAACTCACAACTCCCCCAAAACAAATCCCAGCCCATCAGTCAGACCAGAAGCTCCTGGAGGTGGTTGTGAGGCCCGGCTCCCCTTCCTCTATCCCCACACCAGTTCACTCAATCGAGGCACCACAGTGTCCCGGGGTGCAGAGGGCAATACCACAACACTGACACTGTCCGCCATCAGGGTGACCCCTGCCCTGAGCACTGGGCTGGAGTTCAGCCTCCGACAGCCAGCTGCCATGGTCCCGTCTTTGGAGAGACTCCGTGAGCCTCTCAAGGGTTTACATGCATTGCCCGGGAACCGAAGCACCTGGCGGCACCCACTGAGGACTTATGGAGGTATTTATAACCTTTAAATCCAGCTCCTTTGGAGGAGACGCTGCCCAAGTCGGGTCTGGCCTAGCTGCCTGTGCCAACGCCAGCTTGAAGCGCCTCATAAAGACGCGGGCATCCCTTCTTGTATATTTCCACCTGCCCTTCTCACTCACTGACCCAACATTTCCTATAACAGGCTCTTGCTGACTTTACCCAGCCCCCGCCACCCTGCCGAGCTCCTGGCTAGTAGCTCTCTCTCAGTCCCACGGCTCCCTGGCCTGCTCACTGCCTACCCCTCTTCCTCTGCCACCAGCCTGCTTTGCCTTAATGGCATACCTCACCAACTCCCACCTGCAGGGGAGGTTTGGAGAGCCTGAGCATGCTGGGCACGCAGTGAGTAGCCTGGCTGGCTGTAAATGGAGAGATGTGGCTCCCAAGTGCCAGGGCCACGCTTCCCTGTGCCAGCCGGTCATCACCCCCTCTGCCCACAGTATAAGCTCTCTCACTGGATGCCCCCGCCCCCCAAATAAAAACACTCCCACCTCCCTACTTCTACATCACAAAGGATGCAAACACTGGCTGCTATCAGAGACAACCTCCTCTCCTCTCCTCTCCTCTTCCAAGCAACTACAGGCCCCGTCACCTTCTGCGCCCAGAGGCCAAGCCAGGTCCCTAGACTGACTGCCTGACCCTCTTCCTGCCACGTCACAGATCAAGCATGCCAGCTCACCAGCTCCCATGCCCGGTGCAGCTCCCAGCTGCGCCCATGTAGTTGGCATGGGTGTCTAGGGCTCCCAGGATGGCCAGCTTTCGGGCCCACCCCCCGCCATGTCTATGACGTGCCTTCTCAGCAGCCCCAGTACAGCCAACACCTACCCATCCTCACCTTCACCCTAAGGAGGATGCCACTCCCACCAACCTGCAACAACTATCAGGAAATGGTGGGGGTTGGGAGCCTTCTGCTCTCAGCCTGAGCATGCTGGAGCCTGGCCACACAGCATGGGGCCACCTGGAGCCCTCGCCATGGCACAGCCCGTGGTGCCTTCTGCTGCTGGGGTGTGCCCCAGCACCACCCCCGGCTCCCACCAGAGGGCTCTTTGAACAGTATCAGTTAGAGAAAGCAAGGAAAAAAAAAAAATTAGTGCTTGGAGAGAAGGCAGCCTCCCTAGAAACCTGGAATCCTGAGGGCTGAGCCGTTGTTGACAGTGACCAGCCAAGGCCATTTCCTGGAAACTCTGATTCTAAGAGGAAGGGGAGGAGCAAATAAAAACAGAATCACACTGCAGAGACCCCTACCCAGATATGTATGAGTGGAGTGGGGGAAGCGGAGAAGGGGGACCCACAGGACAGGCTAGTGAAAGGAGCTGCTGGAGCCACACAGGGATACCCTCTCCCGGCCCTCCTGGCAGGGGCTGGAACCCCTCCCGGCAGGGGCTAGAACGGAGGGAGGGGGCTGCCCCACATCCTCACCCTGCCACACCCTTCCCCCACCACTCACGCATCCAGAGGTAGTAGAGGCGCTTGGTCATGTTGAGGTGCTGGGGTGGAATGTCCGCCTCGAAGTCTTGGTAGAAACAGGGCTTCAGTGGGATGAACTTGGGCAACGGGGGGAAGTTGTTCACTTTCTCTGCGGATGAGTGAGGTACATGTGTGACATCACCGATGAGCTCCGCTCCCCACCACCCATCCCATCTACTCCTCCCCTGGACACTAAGCAGCCCCCTCTCAGCTGCCCTGATGGCCCTACGTCAGCCGACCTGGACTTCCCTGAATGTCAGAGTCACTAAGGACCCCCAGACAGCATCACTGGCAAGAACAAGAACCGAGGGAGGCTGGGCTGCGCGTGGAGGACAAGCTCCCTTGGTGGCCAGGCAGACGAAGTGGGATGGATGGGTCTGGAGATGAGGCTGCCAGTCTCCACCCTGACATTCATTCATTCATTCATTCATTCCAGCCACTGCCGCCATGTGACCCCCATTCATTCAGGGGGCAAGGACTAGGACACACATTTCTACCCTCTGAGCCTTTCAAAGCCACAGGGAAGAATGGCAAGGGTGACCAAGGGGAGGAGCTGGGCCACCCATAGTGTCACTCAGTCGAAGGGACAGCGAGATAAGGCCGGTGCTGACCCCAAGGCCAGGCATCTGACAGGGTCATGGATTACACTGAGGTTCTTGGCCAGACTTTGGGGTGATGGGGCAGGAGACATGTGAAGACAAGAGGGAATCAAAAATAACCTGCAAAGACCGGGGAGGCAGGTGAACAAGGAAAAGAGCCACCCACCCGAAATACACTTTTCTACCCATCTCCACGCACATCCCTCTCCTTACCGGCCATGGTGGCACCAGCTGGTCCAGCAGCCTGCCCAAGCCTTTTGTCTCGAACTGCAAGGAAAGGAAGGCCAGAAACGGTTGAGGACCAGGGTCCTGCCTAACCCAGCCCCCCTGGAAGCCCCTGCTGGGCCAAGGCCCTGAGGCAGAACCCCTGGCTCACATCCCCCACAGCAGGTACTCCCAGTGCAACCAGCATCTCAACTGGCCCAGTCATGTTCCACCAGGGACACCTGTCCCCCACTCACACCTGCCGCTGGCCTCAAGGCAACAAGTTTGTCCTCAGAAGACCCCAACAATGGGTGGGAAAGAGCTTTGGGAGGCAACGCCATTCAAGAAGAGCCAAGTGCTGGAAAAATCCCAAAGAAAGATCTCTGCCCTTTTGCCTCTCACAGGTGGTTCACTCACTGGCAGACATGGGTGAGGCTCAGACCGTCCCCGTGGTGGCATGAAATGGTCAGGTCAATACCCTCTACTGGAAATCCCCACCATGAAAGCAGGTGCTGTGCGGGTCAAGGTGACCCAACCTGGGCTGTCAAGGCAATGAACCACACAGGGAGACTGGGAAAAGAAGCTGGCCTGGCCAGGGCCTCCAACACCCGTGGGCAGGAGGCAGAGAAGCAGTCAGGAAGACACCACCACCAGCTCTTCCATGACACTGGTAAGTGTGTCGAGCAGCACATAGAAGAAGAGACACAGGGCCCGGGGAAGGAAGGACCAGCAGGTCTGTCAGCCTTACACCCAGGCAGGGAGCATTTGCTAATCAACCAAAAACGAGCAAGGGTCAGGAGGCAGCGGCTTAGAGAGTACGGACACAGCGGCAGGCTTCGAAAGGCAACAAGCAGTTGGCCTAGCGGCTGAGATTTCCACGGCCCACATCGGAGTGCCTGGCTTCACCGCCTTGCACCAGCTCCTAGCCCCAGCTTCCTGCTGGTGCTAATGGCGAGGGCTTTAGTGACTGGGTTCCTCCCGCCAAGTGGAAGATCTGGACTGAGTTCCAGGGGTTACATGTAGGGGGGTGAGCCAGCACAGGGAGCTTCTCTCTGCATGTCTCCCTGTTTCTATTCTGTCTTTTCCCTCTCTCAAAAATAAATAAATAAATAAATAAATAAAATAGGGGGCCAGCATAAGCTACAGCCTGCAATGCAGGCATTCAGGCTCTGGTTCGAGTCCCAGCTGCTCCACTTCTGATCCAGCTCCTTGCTAATGTGCCTGGGAAAGCAGCAGAGGATGGTCCAAGTGTTTGGACCCATGCTATCCATGCGGGAAACCCAGAAGAGGCTCTAAGCTCCTGGGTTCAGACTGGCCCAGCTCCAGCCATTGAGACCATTTGAGGTGTGAACCAGCAGATGAAAGATCTCTCTCTTTCTCTCTGTAAATCTGCCTTTCAAGTAGAAATTAAATAAATTCTAAAAAAAAAAAAAAAAAAAAAAAAAGATAACTTTCAAAGACAAAAGTAACTAGAAGGAAAGCTGGGGCTTCAGCTGGCTTCCTGGAACTGCTGGGTCCATCCTAAACTTGGCCTTCTAGGACAGCACAGGAGTAAATGTGTGGATGGTCCTGGGAGTTCTCACGTCAGAGCAAACACACGTGGCTTGGCCAGGACAGGGACACAGCAGATGCACCTGCATTGTCCTGTATGGAAACAAACAATGAAATAACCAGCCCGGGTGCAGGAGCCAGGCTGAAGGACCACCAGTCAAATTGGGAACAACCAGAGCATGAAAAGTCAAAGTGATAGCCGGGTATTGTCACACTGATTTACCGCTTTTAGAGGTGGAGCAGGGCACAGCAGGGCATGAGGAGATAAGACTGCACACCCGCAGGTTCAATTCCCCAAGGCTAGCAATGGCTAAGACTGGCTCAGGCCAAAACCAGGAGTTGGGAACTCAATCTAGGTCTTGGCACACGAGTGGCAAAGACCTACCTGCTTGCCACTGCATTAGCAGGGAGCTGAGCCAGGGTCCAGCTCTGTAGCCCAGGCCCTCTGGACATCTCAACTGATATCCTAACTGTAGGCCCTAATATATTAAATTTTAAAGTAGGGGTCTGGCACAGTAGCCTAGCAGCTAAAGTCCTCACCTTGCACATGTCGGGATCCCATAAGGGCGCTGGCTCTAATCCTGGCAGCCCCACTTCCCATCCAGCTCCCTGTTTGTGGCCTGGGAAAGCAGTCAAGGACGGCCCAAAGCCTTGGGACCCTGCACCCGCATGTGAGACACAGAAGAAGCCCCTGGCTCCTGGCTTCAGATTAGTGCAGCTTCAGCCATTGTGGCCACTTGGGGAGTGAATCATCAGACAGAAGATTTTACTTTCTGTCTCTCCTCCTTTCTTCATCTACCTTTCCCAATAAAAATAAATAAATACAATAAAATAAATGATTTTTAAAAGGGAGAAACAAAGAGAAAGATCTTCCATCTGTTGGTTCACTCCCCAAAGGGCTACAATGGCCAGAGCTGAGCTGATCCAAAGCCAGGAGCCGGGAACTTCCTCCGGGTCTTCCATGTGGGTACAGGGGCCCAAACACTTGGGCCGTTCTCCACTGCTTTCCCAGGGCACATCAGCAAGAAGCTGGATGGGAAGTGGAGCAGCCAGGATTTGAACCAGCACCCGTATGGGATACTGGCATTCTCAGGAGGAAGATTAGCCATCCTCCATTGTGCTGGCCCCATCCTCAGAAACTTCTAACTCACAACAGAGAGATATACTTCTATATCTAGAGGCTCTGGCGGACCCACTGGACCAACAGCATTTCTGATAACGGGATGAAGGAATGTTATGTGTTTCTCAGTGGAGTGGGTGTAGAAGTGGTCCAAGTGGTAACACTGTTACCAGAGAAGTTTGACCTGAAATACCGACTGGACAACAATGTGACAAGACCAGACTGTAGGGTGTTGTCCCAAAGGTAAATGTCACTCCCAAAGAAATGGATAGAGGGGAGGCTTTCAGCACAGCGGTCAGCATAGTGGCTAAATCGCTGATGGGGGTGCCTACATTCCACAGCAAGGGTCCCAGGTCCACCTCCCATCTGGCTCTGGCTCATGTGCGCTGTGGGAGGCAGCAGGTGAAGGCTCCAGGACCTGGGCCTTTCACTCGGGAGACCTGGATCGAGTTCTAGGCTCCTGACTTTGGCCCGGCTCAGCCCTTAGCAACACAGGCACTGGGGGAGTGAAATAACAAATGGGACCTGTGGCAGAGAATCAAGAATACACAGCTGTGGAGAGGCTGGTGCTGTGCTGCAGTGGATAAAGCAGCAGTCTGCCATGCCAGCATCCCACATGGGAGCTGGTTCCAGTCGCAGCTGACCCACTTCCGATCCAACTCCCTACTAACATGCCTGGGAAAGTGGCAGAGGCGAACCCAAGTGAGTGAATCCCTGCCACCCACACGGTGCACCCAGAAGATGCTCCTGGCTCCTGGCATGAGTCTGGTCCAGCTCTCACCACTGCAGCCACCGGGGTGTGAACCAGCAGATGGAAACTCTCTCTGCGTGTCTTTTTCGTTTTGTGTCAACCTCTATCTTTTGAATAAATAAATACACCTTAAAAAGAGAGAAGAGAAAGAGAAAATAATAGCTAAGGTTCCTGGAGGGAGAGGTGTGGAGCCTTTCAAAACTGAATTCATCATTATATTTTTTAAAGATGTATTTATTTACAGAAAGACAGAGATTTTCCATTTGCTGGTTCACTCCCCAAATGGCCCCAACAGCCACAGCGGGCCAGTCTGAAGCCAGGAGCCAGATATTTTTCTGGGTTTTCCATGTGGGTGCAGGGCCCCAAGCGCTTGAGTCATCCTCTGCTATTCTCCCAGGAGCATTAACAGGGAGGTGAATCAGAAGTGGAGCAGCTAGGCCTAGCCCAGCACAGGCTGGTATCCCATATGGGCACCAGTTCTAATCCCAGCAGCCCACTTCCCATCCAGCTCCCTGCTTGTGGCCTGGGAAAGCAGTCGAGGACAGCCCAAACTCTGGGACCCTGCACCCACATGCGAGACCAGGAAGACGTTCCAGGCTCCTGGTGTCAGATTGGCTCAGCTCTGGCCATTGTGGCTACTTGGTTAGTGAGTCATCAGATGGAAGATCTTCCTCTCTGTCTCTCCTCCTCTCTGTATATCTGAGTTTGTAATAAAAATAAATAAATCTTAAAAAAAAAAAAAAAAGAAGAAGAAGAAGTGGAACAGCTGAGACTCAAACTAGCTCCCATACGGGATGCTGGCATCACAGGCCGAGGCTTTACCCACTATGCCACAGTGCCAGCCTCAAGAGGGAGTACTTCGACCTGGCACCTTTATGCCATGCTCTTACAACCCAGGATCCCCTCCTTTCTGAGAGCGGATCCTCCTCCTTTCTAAATCGTTATTTAGTCGCTGAGAGAAAAAACACTGCCAGTTTGTGGGATGCAAGCAAATCTGACACACAGACATTAAAATGCGACACACAAAATATCAAAACATCCACCTTAGAATCAACGACATTGGGGACATCATTTTGAATCACGAATCAAGTCAATGCACTTAACCTGTTAAATAGATCTTGGGCAGAGGAGGACAGTCTTAGAAAAACTGAAAAGCAGCAGCCGAGGAGGCAGCAGGTCAGTGGGGCAGCCTGGAATCTGTAGAGGACAAACACTACAGAGGCCACTAACGTGCCTCCGGAGGCAGCCAGGGCTGGAGAGTTCTCACCGCACACAGCAGCAGTGAGTCAGACACGGCCCCAGGGAGAGGCGGTAGGCGCAGCAGCCAAAGGCAAGCGAGCTGGCTGGGATGCAGAGCTGGTGCTGACAGCTCGTTTAAGAAATCTGAGGGGCGCGGCACAATAGCCCAGCAGCTAAAGTCCTCATCTTGAATGTGCCAGGATCCCATATGGGAGCCAGTTTCACTTCCCAGCAGACCCCACTTCCCATCCAGCTCCGTTTGTGGCCTGGGAAAGCAGTCGAGGACGGCCCAAAGCTTTGGGACCCTGCACCCTCATGGGAGACCCAGAAGAGGCTCCTGGCTTCAGATTGGCTCAGCTCTGGCCACTGCAGCTGCATAGGGAGTGAACCAACATACGGAAT